GCTCACCCTGCCAGTCTGGGGAAAACGAGTGGGGCGATGGGAAGGAGGTGGAGAAGAAGATGACGAAGGAGAAGAATAGGCGGAAGAATAGACGGAGGTAGAGGTAGAAGAGGTAGGATGAGGAGAGTGAGTATGGTTGTTGTTGTTGTTTCGAGTTTGATTGTTTCGACCGTGAGTTTTGCGTCTGCGACCACGGTGCGCCAGCAGACGACGTGGTTCCCCAGCAATTTTTAGGCCAGCTTTTCCAGGCCCCCCCGAAGGAAGCAGTGCCCTGACCCCTGAATAGGGGCTGCTTGATGTGCCGGCGCGGCCGAACTCCACTGTGGGCCACGAGTTTTTTTGGCAGTGGAAGAACGACTCGAATTTGCCAATGGCTTACGGCATTGCCGCAAGCCTGCGGTCACCTACGGTGCACCAGATGGGCGCGTGTCGACGGTGCCAATTCGGAGATCCGTCCCACCGGCTGATCAACGGCGTACCAGGCGGAGCCTCGTCTAGACGATGTCTGATACACCGCTGGTCAGCCGGTTGGTGGTGGAACGTCGCATCGATGCACAAACATATATATAGGCAGAATAGCACTACCGAAAAACACTGGAATGGCCATTTCTGGCTTACTAGCCATCATCAGCCAGGCATGCCCAACCCCGAAGTTTGGGACACCTAGGGCTCAGTCCCGCGACCTGCTGATTAGAAGTCCAACGTCCCTAACCACTGCGCCACGGGCTCATTGTCATGTCGGTTGTGGTTGGGTATATACACTGGTGGGAAGGACGCCACGAGCCCTCAGCACGTCCGACGAGAGAGCGCGGACCACAGCTCCGGTCGGCTAAAAGAACTTCGTTGGACTATGCCTAGCTGGACACAAGTTGCACATGAGGGCTTGATGTACGTGTTGTTTTCTGTATTTCTTGGATTGGAAATGCACTTTGCCGTCCGCCCCTTCTCCGCCACACCACGCTCATTTACCACGATTATGCATGCGTTGTTGTATAACCCACCTCTGGTAGGGACAACGAGTTCGTGGCTCAGTGGCTAGACGCGTTTGACTTCTAGCCAATAGGTCACGATGTCGAGCCCCAAGTGTTCCACACTTCGGGACTGGGTATGACTGACTGACGACGGCCAACAAGCCAGAAATGAGCATTCCAGTCCCCCTTGTATTTGTCAGTAATGTCACTCCGCCTATACTACGCGTTGCTGTGCGGCTGCTGATTAGGCGCGAGAGAGCCCCAAGACACAACGCGGGACGAGTGCGTTCCGTAACACGATAAGTGAGCGCCCCCTCTACCATTGGATCTAGTTTCATTGCAGATCTGTGCGGCTGCCCGGACAGAGAGGCAGTAAATTAAATTGCCCACCCAAGTGCGGTTTTACACGTATTATTAACTGAGTCTGGTATCCGACCCCCATCAATCACTCCACAAATCTCTTGCAAACATCTCGGTCACCACAACTCGGGAATCCATTCGACCAGTAGACTAAACCAGACGAGGGCAACCGACGCGTTTCAAACTATCCATGTGAAGTTATTATGTAGGGGTGCGAAATCTGGTTCGACGAAGAAGGCGAATCGACAGCGCGTTGTGGTGCTTGCAGATCACAGTGCCTTAATCCGTCGCCTATGGCGCCGAATCCTCTATGCAATTCCTCCGCAGTATGCTTGATTCACATGCAAGTCCTCTTCATCATAGAATAAGGTGTCAGTTCGGAACGGGGGTTAAACCTTCGTATATATCCATCTGCCCCAGTGATAAGCGCATAAATAGAATCCCATGGTGCCCGTCGTGCACGCATTCTTTCTCGTGGATACAATCCATTGGCGGGGGTGAGGGAGGCGTCAGACAAACCACAAGTTCCCCTCCGTCTATACTCCTTTTTCAACTGTTGAATTTTAAATCTTCCTTCCACAGGCGGACCATATCACTCGACAGGCTCTCGAGCGCCTCTCCACGGAAGAAAACTCCTATCCACTGTGAACTTTTATTTCCATCCTTTTTTTCTTCAAAA